TACGTGTTTGAGTTAGCCAATCAGAGTCTTTCTTGACACGTTTCTGATTTTCACGCTACGTTAAAAGCAGATGGTAGTTTTATTGCAGGAACTTCAGTAGCCTTTCCCGGTGAAAATATTATACAATTTCTTCATGCTTTGCATTATTAATAAGAAGCGAATAGAATTGTTAACGTTATTTTATGAATCTGTAAGTCTTTCATTTCTATTTCGCTTTTGTTTTACTCTCGACACGTGTCGCTTCGCTGACGGCAAGATGGTCAGATTTCAAATCAAAATTGTTTGTCCACTTAAAATACTACATTTATTAGAAAATGTATGAAAAATTTCTCAGAGTCGACCTGTGTCCGTTGACCCCAAATGCCACTTTTACTGAATCTATTTGCTTGAATAGGGATTTTGTCATTACTTTTTGGTCGTGTCTTGTTTGAAAGTATCTGGTCTTGTACTTCTTGTATTGATGTAGTCACATAGGCGATAGGGAGTGTGGGACACTCCATTACAACAGAATTGCTGAATAATTTCAATACAATTAATATTAAAATATCTGATGTTTAGGGTGTGAAGAGTAAACTTTTTTGTTTCCATTTCTATGATTTTTGAGCAGCCCAAAGTAGGGGTTATCTAGAAAAATGGAAACATATTATTCCAATATTTTATTTCAAACTCAAATGTTCTGAGTATTTATACAGGGTTACCGGGCGGTGTTGTAATGGCGTAAGAAAATGCAAAAAGTGAAGTTCATGATATTATGCAGGAACGATAACGATTAACCCTAGACCTGAAAAGGTTAATATTGTAGTGATCGGGAAAACATCATGTCAGGAGTCTGTTCCACAAAGCAGCAGTTCTTGGGAAGTTGTTCGAATGGAACTTTTTATTATTGGAATACGAAGGGAATGAGGATGACTCACACTTGTGTACGTGGCATAGCGGGTCTCAGTTTTAAAGTTCAGGGGTGGTGGGACTAAGGATTGTAGCTGGTCAGAACACATGCCATGGAAATAGCGATAAAGAAGCGTGAGGCTCGCAACGTTTCGTCTGAAGGAAAGAGGTTGTAGGGTAGAAAATATTCAATCACCCACAAGACCGCGTAGATGCTTTCGAACTCTATCAAGTAAGTGAGGACTCGGTAGATCCAACCCAGATATGGCAGCAATACTCCATTTTTGGTCTGATCTGGCTCTTGTAAAGATAGAGTATAGAAGGGAGAGTCAGATGATGTGAATAGAGCAGTCAGTGTTTGAACGATCCGATGGAGCAATTGTCATATTTAAAACCTATATATATATATATATATATATATATATATATATATATATATATATATATATATGTGTGTGTGTGTGTGTGTGTGTGTGTGTGTGTGTGTATGAATAGACTGGATTACACTAATCATATTCCGTGTTAATCCTCTATCTCTCATTGAGCCCGCTCGCTCATCTGCCGTTGGTCACGTACTCTGAAGCTATTCAAAATGAACTGTCCCTCATTGAGAATAGTAGCGGTTTTATAGTCAAACTACGAATTGGGGATACCAAAATCAAGCAAGTACAAACATTTAAATATCTGTGAAGTGTTTAACAAGACGTGAAATGTGATACCGAAACCCGAAGGCGCATTGGAATAGCAAAAGACAGAAATTTTGTTAGAAACCAGTGCTGAATTGTTATGTAATATCAGTCATCCTATATGGCAGTGAATGTTAGGCAATCTCTTCACAGTTGAATAATAGACTTGAAGCAACAGAGATGTGTTTCTACAGAAGGACACTGAGAATACCGTGAACTAAACGTTTGAGTAATGATGACGCTTTAAGGAAAATGGAAACAAAAAGGACGCTTATACATTAAGAAATAAGACAATTTCGTTAGTAAGAAAGACTGCCGAAATATGCAATAACAGTTCTTCTATACGATAGCGAATACTGGCTGACTCAAGGCAACAGAAATATGGTTTTAAAAAAGAATGTTTAAAATATCATAGACTGAACATGTGATCAACGAGGAAGATTTAAAGATAAAGAAGACAAAAAGGACGCTTATGCTTAGAATCAGAAAAAGACAGTTGAAATTTCTAGGACACAATGAGGAAATAGGGCTTGTAGGATTTGACACCCACAGGACATATTTAAGGCAAAAGAGAAAAAGAAAAAGCAGTGAGTAACCTACACGACAAGTTTATGTAAATTGATGTCAGAACAAGGACTGGTAGGGATGGTGAAAAGATAAAACTTACTAAGAGCTACAAAGGATCGGATGTTGTAGAGGGATACGGCATGTTGTAGAATTAGTTCTAGTTTCAAGGACAATATTCCATTATACAAGTCAATGTTTTCACAAGTAACTGGAGTTAGCCATCAAATGAAGAATACAACATATGGATTTCAGCTTCAGATTGTATCATGCAACTCAAAAGTTACTCATCACATTGGAATTAAATATATAAATAGTACATTGTTCAGATGGTTTTCTTTGTTGTCATATTCACGACGTTTCAGCCGTTGTGCGTTCCCACCTTCTTCAGGTAATTGGAATCTCAAACTAAACCCTCTATTTCGTCTACAGCGGGTAGATTGTTCTAGTTCCACGTGCCATGCCTCTTCCGGATATCTCAGTTATTTCCTGTTAGTAACTCAACTCTTCAAGTTTCTGTTCACTTCCGCTGTGGCCAGGTATTGAATTCACAACTCTTTGGGTCAAGTCACTGGATTACTTCAACCAACACTTTTATCCATTGGGTCATGTGTCATTGGTGAATATGACAACAAAGATGGTGACAACTGTCCGAACAATGTAAATAATGTAAACAGTTACAATACCTCATCTCAGAAATATAGACAAATACAGTAGTACAGTTGCTGATATTTATTTTTTAATTTCAGGTCTTGTGTTATGAAATAGACTAAGTCCGAAAATTATTTTAATATATTTATTGTTTAATTAGTCCATTTCATAATATATGACGTCATTTGTTTACGTTAAGATACGCTTCGAGCAGATATGAGCATTTGAGAGAAATCATAGGAAATTTGTAGTTTCCAAGCAGTAATTCGATCTTGCTAACTAGACGCTTTCTCTGAAGCTAAATGGTACAGCACGTCAAGCTATATGACAGTTCCGTGTAGGATACAGGTTCGCTTCCTGTCGGAGGACACATATTTTCTATTAAATTTCTCCGACATTCATGCCGGTAAATATTGTTAATACTGTTTGTTATAAACAGAGCATTTACTTAAATATTTGTATCGATAAAAAATAGCATATGAACAATGAATATATTAAAATTTCAGGTCTATAGTGATTACCACGGATCGTAAGAAAGACATAATTTCAAAAGAGAAATAAGATATTGTAAATTATTGAATGATGGGAAAACAGTGTTGGAAACTGTGAAAAGTTGAACAGAAATTATAGAAGACTAATAAATTGCAAACATTGGCAAGAACAATAAAAATGCCTTGAAGAATGTTACAATGAGAGGTTTAACAAAAAATAAAAGCAATAAGCAAGATAATATTTGATGAAGCTGGTGTTGCAAATGTAAACAGAGAGAAAAGCTGCAGAATATTAAATGACCGGAAACTCACACGATATATTGTTCATAGATAGAGAAGCATATGGAAATTTTTTACAACATCAGTAGATTAATACTGGGAAATCAGTGATATGCATATTAAAATCTGACATTTTAGCTAGATAAATAAGCTGAGATAGATGAGGTGAGATAGATAAATATGAAATTAAGATAGATTAGCTGAGATAGATAAACTTAAATAGATAGATAATAAGCTGATGAGATAGATAAATAGGTAGATAGTTAATAGGATGAGATCGATTGAAAGATAGATAAGCTTAGATAGATAATGAGGTAGATTAAAAAATAGATAAGCTTAGATAGGTAGCTAATAAGCCGAGATAGATAATAAGATGAAATAGATTGAAAGATAGATAATTGATATAAATAGATAGATAAGCTGTTATATATCGAAAATAATCTATAAAGTCGGAAATGGAAGAATGAGAATAAGAAACATGTATTTATAAAATTTAACAAAATTCAAATACTTCAGCATGTCTTGAAAAATGCTCGTAACAGGTTTCTTCAATCATGACCAGTTGATACTTGAATTTCTGTAAAAACATTCTATACAATATGGCTTTATGTACAAGAAGGTACAGAAGTTTAAGCATGTGGATAACAGACAACAGAAAATATGACTTAAGTCTAAAAACGGATTGGAATAGCGAGAGATGCTTTTTAAAACCTAAGTAAAGTAAGCATGTTAATTTCGTTACAAGCGAAACACACACACACACACACACACACACACACACACACACACACACACACACACACACACACGATCTCTCCCCCAACTCCAGGTGGGCTTGCGGCCTGTCATTTCAGAAGCACCTTTACATATCGATGTCTTCTGTTAGTATAAGTAGTATGGTTGTATCCATTATCGGCTTGCTAGGCCTGTCGCGAAACTTACAGCGCCTGGTATTCCTCGGCGGTCACCCTTCTGAGATTCGATGTAGGTTAACTTCGGTGATCGGACGAGAACCGGTTTTTCAACGTGATACAGCCGTGTTGATCCGTGCTAGGTAATATCGGTCCACCTGTATGGCAGTTAATGCTGAACGATTTTTTTTCATAGATGAAAAGGAGGCAACAGAGATGGAAATAAGATCTAAATGAACCCTTGTACTAAGTATCAGAAACATATAGTTGAGATTTCTGGGACACATGCTAAGGAAAGAGGGTTTGGTGAATCTGACACTCACGGGATATAGTGAAAGCAAGAGAGGCAGAGGGAAAAGGCACGTAGCCTTCTTAGCGAGATTGAGTAAATGGTTGGCATAGTAGGGAATCGGAGAAATGGTAAATAGCCAAATGATTCCTAGTGCTACGAAAAAAAAAAAAAAATAAAAAGTATTCTGTGGAGATCGCCCACGTCCTGAAGCGATATGGTACATAAAAAAGAATATACTGACCTTCGTTTCTATATGCTTATCACAAAAGAAACCGCTTCTGCCCGAACAACTGGTCCCCATTGGCCTAAAAGATTATAGTAAAAAAAAAAAAAAATTAAAAAAATAAAAAATAAATTATTTATCTTAAGACAACAAGAGAAACTGCTAATTATCAGAAATCTTTGAAATGAATTACAGGAATTCTTTTTATTTTTAGAACCATTGCAAGTGGGTAATCGGATTATATAATTTCAGACAATATTTGGTTCCCCTATCCATTCACTGTGCGTTCTCGTTTCCAGACCAAACACGAGACTCACGAGCGAACGACTGCGATTTCTTGACGTCTTATTATGGTTTATTTCTACTGAAGAACTGCTTTGCTCTCTAGAAACAGTTATATACTCACCAGAGTTCTTCATGCTTCTCGGGGAACAGCCACCTGGCCGGTTTCGGGGCCGCCTTCAATGTTACCGCTCTAAAAACTAATAATGAACGCGAGACTAAACCTTGCATACCCAAACGTACTATCTACCTTCAGATTTCCAAAATTAAGATTGGAGTGGATGTATGGCTTTTGGGTGTTTTTACCGAACGTGGATCCCCTCCCGAGAATGTGTGAGATTCTGTGTCTTTTTTCTTTTGGGGCGTGGTGCTTATATAACTTTCTGTCATCTGGTTTTCCCACGCGTGCTCATCATACTAAGCGCAGTTGGGTCGGTCATCCGTTTACGTGTCGGGGGAACCACTGATATCCTATGAAGTGCTAATTTGCAACTGGTAGATATAAGGTCTCGTAAGTCAATCCTTTGATGCACCTGGCTTTTCTGATTCTCTGGTGAACCAGTGCAAAGTCTGTTTTGGTTTCTCTTAGGATGGGTTCAGTACACATTGGGGTTATCTCAGCTAAACTTCTCTAAGAACAAAAGCTTATTAACATTAAATTCAGATTAGACAATTTGGCATTTCCTGACATGAATAACATAGTTTGACGATATAGATGGTATTTATCCATCCACCCACGGGGACCGAATGTGGCACAAGGCCTTTTTAATGTGGGTATGTCTGAGCCCGTAGGCCCAGCCAAAAATAAAACCCATCTAAACCCGTCCAAGCGGGCTAGTTCCGTCAACCTCCCCGAACGAAACCCCACCCTTCGGCGGAGCTTCGTCCGGGTTCCCCTCTGCAAGCAGAGAGTTCGACAGACACCCGACCCGGCAGCTCACAAAGCGCAGATACTACACTTTGATCCTAGCCACCGGCCTGATGCCTTTAGCCTTGGACCTTCGATCAACATGACCCTACCGGCATACCAGCCGTCGTTGGGCTGTTACACCGATTCATTCACCCACGAAAGTGAATGAATGAAACATAATCGATCCTGAAGTAGACGATAGGTGCACTGGAGTTCTTTGGTTTTGGCTTCAAGCTGGTCCCGAAATTCGAAGTACCATAACTAAGCAGTAAAAATGGAGCGATATTAAATTCAAAGACATAATTAACAAATTTCAGCCTCCACCTGATCAACGAAAAACCTCTTCATATTTACTTATTAGGACATGAGAGCCGAAAGTAATTCCAGTTATTATGAATGAGCAGAGGAAAGAACGCCATTTCTTATCTTCGCTTATTATGGCTGAGTAGCCAAAAGAAAGCCACTTCTTATGTTCATTTATTATGACTGAGCAGCCAAAAGAAAGCCACATTATACTCACTTATTATGACTGAGCATCCAAAAGAAAGCCACTTATTTTCGCTTATGCCAGCCCATACAAAAGAAATCCAACCCAAGCTTAAAAAATCTGACCAAATTAACACAGGTCATAATTTCAAACTTTAATTCGGAATCCTTTTAGTGCAATATTTGAAAAATTTATTGCGAGGAAAAACAGCCAAGGATATGTAAAAATGTTTGAGATAAAAAACAAAACACTTCACCTACATATTTATACAACTTGCATGTGACAACAGTTTGTTCAGGCAGTGAATTACATACGCATTATCAAATATGAAAATGTGAAATCAATGAAGGTCTAACTTGATAATTTGATGTGATTTTCATTTTGAGCATGATTTAGCTATGAGATAAAATGGATAGATGGAGTATATGTATGGTCGTTCTGATAAATTGGTACCAACTGTCCAGGCGACTTAGTTTTTTACGCCTAATACCAGACTATTACATGACACATCCCCCACACTTTGATATGTGAACAGATTACAGATTAGTCAAGGACAGACAACCGTGTTTTGTAACGCTGCACCATCTTTTTCGGGCTGAGAATATTACGTACTCCTCATGTACACACACATACTATAAAGTTTTTTGAAGTTTGAATTTTTTATTTATTCTGTTTTACACATGATAAAATCTATATTTAAATACGGCATACGAAAAATTTATTACATTTTTAGATGGATTTATTTTTGAAATTGCTAACGTTTACCATGCCTACCGTCATTAAGTATACAAATCGTAATACAATTCTGAATTCCTACAAATGCTGTTGTCCGTTGATTTTTATTAATACCCTCATCAACATTACTTATCCTGTAAAGATACAACGACTCCCTCTCTTGGACAAATCAACCGCGTTGGGTCTTGTATATTCAAAAGTAAACGGAAACTGAAAATACCACGTTGAGAAATGAAAAAGCGTAATCCTTTTTCCAATATATTTGCTTATTTGTTCAGAGATTCACTTGCATGGTCTGGTGGGGTAGGTAGGTGTATACTTGGGACAACTGTCACTCGCGTCAGGACAGATTACGGATGTGATCTTCCTTTAGGCTGGTGAGAACTGCGAATCTCTTACCATCACTTTACCCATCTCTCTGCACGTCGCTCATAACTCCTTTCTGACCGGAGGACCAGAACTCCCGACAGACGGCCTATACCTACTAAGAGGTAGCATCGTAACTTTTTTCTTTTTAATCATTTCTCAACAAGTAAGGCAATAAAGCCACCAAGACGAAAGGGGTTAGTGAGTATGAGAGAATATGAGAGGAAAAATTATTAATGAGTGAACGATAAAAGAACAGAAAATAAAAAGACAGAAGATAACAATTGACATTGTATTTAAATTCTTGAAGATCAAAGTTGATTGGCAAGCAAGAAGTCAGAAGAGAGTTCCACAAGCAAGAAGTGCGTGAAAAGAAATTGTTAGCCTAAAACTTACGGTAACATCTAGCCATTTCAAATGCCAATCTAGTAGTACGCTTAGAGTCATAAAGCTTAGGTATCAGACAGGAATGTTCATCAGAACAATTACCATGGAACTATTTATAGAAACGGCACTGGGAAGATACGTTACGGTGGTTGGAAAGCGAGTGAATCGTAGATGCTAGGTCAGCGCCAATAACATTGCAGAGTCTTTTTTGTATTTTATCAAAAACCTCTAAATACATAACAGAAGCACCAGACCAGATATGACAGTAATATTCAATGCATGGACGAACGGTAGACACATAAATGTGTAAGATAGATTCTGACAAGAAAAATCTATGAACAGTGAACCTAATTTCCTGGAAGCAGACCTAACAATTGATTCAATATAATCTTTCCATGTCATGTCAGTGGAAAACTTTATCCCGAGAAGTTACAATGGGTTGCCCTTCTGGAGGTTAGCATCAGCTCTGCTGATGTAAGGTAAAAAGTTTCTCTCAGACAATTAAAAATAGCAGTTTCGTTTTGGATGCGTTAGAATTAACAAGCCACTTATTCCCCCCAGTCAGCAAGAAATTGTAGGTCATTTTCGAGTTCAGTTGCCAATTTGACATTAACGAACCGACCAGACTTACCATTAAGACAGGAGTAGATAGTTGTGTCATCAGCATAGATACCGAGTTGAGAACTGATGACATCAGAATTGTAGTTGTTGAAAATTAGGAACATAGGGGACACCTGCATTAATGCAAAAAGATCTAGAAGAGTGGTCGTTCAAGACAACTTTCATTTCTCGATTTGATAAGAAAGATTGACTCAGAACAAAAATTCGTTCAGAAATATCTTTCAACATGTGCCAAACCCCGTCAAATGCCTTTGTGATATCCAATTCAACAGCCCGAACTTTACCATTCTTATCTAAAGCTTGATAGACTCCTTCGGCAATAATCGTTAATACACCAGCAGCTGACCTATAGAAGAAAAGCCATAGGTCTTATCTAAAGATCCTTCGATGTAAGATGCATAACCAATTCAGAGTTGTTTAGAGCTTCTTTGCCATTTTTTGGCCGATAGTTTGAAGGATTAGATTAAACAGTTCGCCTTCTTAAAGACTAAACTACAGAAAAGGATTTCCAACAAGCATGAAAACAAGAAACAGCCAAGCATTTATTGTAGAGAATAGAGAGAAAAGGAGCCAGTTCTGGAGCATATTTCTTAAGGACTATTTCAGTGATATTAAGTCCACAAAGCATGTGGTGATCCAGTTTAGAGATAGGGGATCAAGTTTACTCCATTCAATTCTAAATGTACTGTTTATATAATCTTGCGAGCGAAATGCTCTAATTTTTTTTTCAAAAGTTTTCATTTATTTATGCATTTATTTTATTCCCTTTTGGTCAGTGAGTAACCGGTTTTGAAGGTATTACTTTGGATATTTTATTGTTAATCATAAAAATACCAAACACTTTAAACTCACATAAAATTATTTAGGGCTCACATGACTTCGAGTGTGTTTTAATGACATTCAGGTTTCGTTGTGTGTAGCAAGAAAGAACGGCTACGATTAGCGTGTGTTTATTGCGACGGGCGGCGGAAATAGCCGACAGCATCCGGTGGTGTTCGTCTGTCGTCAGAGATGAGACGTTGGTTTGTTTGATTTTGCAGCCAATAAAAACGATAATCTTCAAGTTGGCCTTTCGGCGCTCGGTGTAGAAAAAGTGTTTACGCTATGTTTTGGGTTGGTTAGAAGTTAGTCGTTGGTGAGTTGATGACTCTGTAGTGAGTCCCGATAAAAAATAAAATGAAAAAGATAAAAAAAATAATTAAAATAAGACATTTGCTTTCCTTTGAAAGCCTTATCTCTTTCCCATCATCTCTCTAAACTTCTCTGTCAACTACCGAACAGAAAAGGATTTTTC